TTATAATTGTGCGCAGACGCAGTCGAGGGACAAAAGTTAGCCAAAACAAAGGAAAACTAAGCAAAGCTAAGCAGAGCAAAGTTGAAAAGTAGGACCAACCTTTAAAAACATTTAAAATTTCTTAAAATTTGTTTAATGATTTTAGATGGATTAAAAAAAAGGTAGTTACATCTTCATAATGTCATAATAATATTTAAATTTAAATATTTTGATTTGGGGAACATGGAGTATTCCTGATATAAAGGTGTAAATGGTAGTTCTTAATATTTATCCTACATCGCCTGTTATAATATCTAAGCCCGTTGATGGATTTTTCTTTTATTTCTGTTATTAGCAAAAAATTTAGCGTAATATTTAACTTTAACTTTGTAAGTTATAAGCCTATAAAAATATTATTTCTCCTATGGGAAAAAGGGTACTATTAACTAATGTAAAATATTTTGTTATAATAAGGTTTTATAATATTATTATTTTTTAAATATATATATTTTTCCTTTTAACTCTGGCCACATTCGAGCTCTGACTAAGCCAGGCAATTCGGACCCTCCCCCGCCTTCTGTGGGCCAAACTACAAACTACGCAGATTTCATTGTTAGCCTCGTTGGCAGCATGTAAATGTCCGTCTTTTGTTTTGCTCGCTGCTGTGCTGTGCTGTATACTGTGCTGCGGCCCAAGTGGCCAACTGTCTGGGCCTGTTCGGCTATTCGGCTGTTTGGCTGTTCGGCTGTTGTGGCCGCCGCTGTTGTCTTAAATTAATACCAAATTGTCAACGCTGGCGGAAAGCTGCACAGCGCGCCAACGCCGCATGATAAGAGGCAGGCAGGCAGGCAGCCAGAGAAGACCAGGCCAGAAGACCTGGACTTGGCCAAGGCCCAGTGGGTGGGATGGGTGAGATGGGGGGCGGTGAGTGGTGAGTGCCGGGGGGAAATGGTAACTGGGAAATGGGAGCCCGCTGACTGCATCTGCGCATGCGTCCGCGCTGGGGTTTATTTTTTCAGCAGCTTCTGTGCGCGCGCGGCTTTCGCTCGTTTTGGCCGTTGTTGGTTTGTTGTTGCGGCCTGCGCCGGTCTAAGGTCTTCGATGGTCGTCAATTGATAGCCAGATTTGTGCAATTATCATTTTAATAATTGCCAACAATCTGCACGATATGAACCGGCGACAGCGACAGCGACTGCAAGTCCGATTCCGATTCGGACTCCTCCTTGGTTTTCGTTTTCGTGCTCATAACCAGTAGCTGGTCGGTGGCCACTGTCGCCTCGCTGTGGGCATCGCTCCGGCCTCCATTTGTTGCCAAGACAATTATAATCCACATGGCCAGGCTACATAATAATAAATTTATTACAGATTTCCGCCTGATTTGTTGTGCGGAATTTTCCAGCGGCAGAGGCCTCTGGACCAGCAGCACCCACTGTGAGACAAATAGAGAATACTTAAATGGTCTCTCGGTGCTTTAAACGATGACGGCAGATAGTACGATAAATCAGTAAAAACCCGACGAGTAGGTGAGGAAAGCTGAGGGGAAAGTGGTCAAGGAATCTCAGTAATTTAACATTTTAAATAACTTAAATACTTTTTGAGAATATCAAGAACGATGTGATCAGCTTGGATTATTCTTTTTCATTTGGATAATAAAACTCAACAAACTGAAAATAGCAGATTATCAGAATTAAAAATATTGACATCCAACAAAATAAAAAAAAAATTGAGAATAAAATTTCAAGTATTGGGCAAAAAATGTCATACATATCAATTATCACACATCCTATCCAAAAATTGCTGTCTTCATAATCTTTTTTAGTTTGTATATTTGGCTAATAAGTTTTCTCTTAAAAAATTGGAATAATTAAGTTATTAAAATAAGCATATATAAAATACAAAATAACATAAGTGAATATTTTTTTATCGGTTAATCAAACAACTTAGCAATCTATCAATCGTTTAAGATTGTGGATTATCTTATGGCACTTTATCTAGCCATTGACCAAGTCAACTCAACCATTCATCATGGGGGCTTTCATTCAGCCAATCCAGCTTCTATCTAACGGTTCCCATAGCCCACACACCTCTCAAGTTGGCCAGAAACTCACCTCAGCACGAGCTGGCTCACACACACAGACGCGAACCCGTTCCGTGTAGGTGTTACCCGCCCTCCCAGCACTGTTTCGACCAATCGGAGAGCAGCGGGCCGAGAGCCACGAGCCAAGTGCACAGGCATTTCCGAGTTTCCGAGTGTGTGGGATTTGCTCGAACTGAGGGACTTTCGGAGGGTGTCGTAAATAAAATGTCGCTGATACGAAAAACAGAGAATGAAAATTATTTACGACTCACGGGCTGCTTTGCCTCTGCTGCACTGCACTAAATTATTGATTTACTGCGTTTTAATTGGACAACAATAAGATTTTTAAAAAGAGAAACAATAAAAATATATAGATAACAACTGTTATCCTAGGAAATATTTTCTTGAAAAAAAAACAAGCTGTGTTTTCATCTTAAACTTATGTATTGGAAATAGCAAAAATATGTTTATTTTCATTAAGTAACTAATTTAAAGTAAAGATACTCCTTTGATAAAATATTCAGGAATATTAAGTATAAGTATTTGTTCTTTTTACTTTAAATTTAATTAAACGATCATACCATATTTTATAAGCCCTCTCGTATCATTTCATGTACCTTCAAGAAATTATTTTATATTCACACAAACTTTTTTGTTTGTTTTTGTCAAAATCTTGTTTTGTATAATTTAAGTAAAGACACAAAATGCTTAAATAATATTTGGAAAGCACTATAAAATTTTGAAGAAATTTTATTTTGTTATTATTGCTTCATCTTCGTAAACTCTTGTTATTGAAGTGTAACGGCGCGACTGCGCATATCAAACGATGATAGATGTGAGCGGCATACGGTGAATCCGTTACAAAGCGGTAGGGGATGAGCGAATGAGATGGAGGGGCACGCGCCCTCAGCCTTTCACAAAAATAAAACTAAAACAAAAACAAAAACGCTGCCAAGCGCAACCAACCGACTGGCAAGCGAGTTGACTTGGCCAGCCCTCATCGCGGTCGAGGTTCCCCCATTTTGGCCCGCTTTGAGGCCGCGTGCCTCGTACCGCTTCGCTAGATCGGCAACACCCGTGGCGGACTCGTGTCCTCAGGAATTTCGGTGTCGCCACAGCGCTGCACATGTCCTGCCAAAGAAAATTGCGCCAAAAAATAGGGGAAGGGAGTAAAAAAAAATTGCTGACAGCAACGAAGGAAGAGGATCGTTAAATGTGGAAGTGTGCGCCCGCCACTTCTTCTTCTTCTTCTTCTGCTTGGCTCGTTTTCTAGGCAGGTGTGGCCCGCGCCAAGGATAGATAAACTGGAATTGAGGCGGCCAAGACGAGGTGGCCAAGCATGGCGAAGAACCAAGGACTAAGGAGGCGGAGGACCTCGAACGGCCGAAGGATAAGCTCGGGAAAAGGTGCAGCTACCAGGAGAGGGAGAAAGTGGCAGGTGCTCGTCCCATTTGAGTGGTTTAATATGTACGATCCTGCGAGGAGATGGGATCCTTAATGATTACAGTTTTGTAAATGTTTTTATGGGGAAATAAACTATCCTCTGTCAAATCACAAAAGAAACACTACACCTTGTAACTCCTGTGGAAATTACAAAGAACTTTAAGTTTTATTAAAAACTTTTTTTGAATAATTGTAAAAAATAATTCCACAAAAAATTTAAATTTTCCTTTTCTAACGAAAGGCTACGGTTTGAAAATAATTCAACGGTTTTAAAATAATAGTTATATTCAATAAAAATTTAAGTCTTTTCTGTACAGCAAACAATGTTTTATTTTAACGGGGATTCTTAAATTGTTTTATAAACTAAATTCAAACCTTTACGACTCCCAACTCAAGAAAAAAACTAAATTTTGGTTTCTGAAACGCCAAACTATAGGATCTATATCAAATAAGTTATCAAGCCAAATACTGATAAATTCAAAAACCTGTATAAGCTCCCGTAATTTGTTGTTTTCAAAATGATCGGACTTTACTTATGGCCTGCTTTATTTTTTTTGACAATCCAACGACTAAATGTTTTTAACAATTTATGTCTTCATCTAAGCTTTTGTTTTTATGCAATTAAAAAATTAATAAAAACCTCTGAAAAAATAAAATTAAAAACACGTTTAGAATTTTGATTAAATCTAAACGCAATCTAAACATTATCTAAAATATTGCCTAGTCAAATGCTGGCGTGTTGAGTGGCCGCGACAGATGTTGGATCTTCATCCACCTAAATATTTGTAGGTAACCCCGCCTGGTTCCCGCCCTCCCCCTTCTCCTCCTCCTCCTCTTTTCTATCAGCGATCAGTAGTGAAATCCTCCGCCGATTGCTAACTCCATCTCGCTTGCACTCCCTGTCTCCAAAGACCCAAGTCCCAATATTCCCAAGCCAACAACAGTTGGTGGCAGCAGCGGCAGCGGCAGCAGCAGCAGCAGCAGAAATTGTAACAGTTAAAAGGCGGCAGCGGGAAAAGGACAACGAACGCCCGCCAAACTTAAACTGCATACCAATTAGTAGGGAAACGCGTGCTGCCGAGAAGAAAACCAGTAGTGGTGGTGGTGGTACATGTACGTGCACAAAGGATAATGGAAAGGGGGAGGGGGCGATCGAGAAGGACTCCTAACTGTGCGTCTTGACCCTTACAACATGCACACAGGACTGCAACAGCCGCCAACTGCTGCCAAAGGTGAAAAACCAGAGTTGGCCAACACACACACACACACACACGCAAAGGGCTCGAGAGCCACCACCAAAAAAAGAGTCAACACCAATACACAGAGGGACCGTTTTGATTCGGCTTGCTGCCACCACACTCACACACGCACACACAGCCAGAAAAACAGAGAGCTCGATTTGTACCTTTGCTTGTTTTTTTTTTTTGGTGTGTTGGTCGGGCCAAGTCGCTTCACCGTTGGCTCAATTTAGAACCGAGCCATCGACCAAAGATTCAGTCAGGTGCGAAGCACCGAGCGATACGGACGTGTTCGTCTCCATTGAGTCAGGAATACCGCACAAGAAACAAGCTAAATCCCCTTGAAGATCAGTTCAAATCGAAGATCAGTTTCCTACCAAAAAAAAAAAAAAAAAAAAAACAAATAAGAAGTGAGATTTGTGCAGTGAAAAGTACTGAGAGAAATCACCCAAAGATTGTTAAAGACAAGTGAGAAGAAAAGTTAAGATCCGAAATCAAAATGAACCACCTTTCGCCGCCGCCATCGCCGCATTCGCAGCAGCCGAGTCCAGCGGGATTGGGTTGTCATGGGGCAGCTGCTCTCGACAAGCAGTGGATGCAACGGGCGTCCGCCTTCAACACTGTGATTGCATCCGCCGCAGCTCAGAAACTGAACGGAAGAGGTGAGTGCCAGGACCACAGATCCACTGGGATTTAAAGGAGATCAGACAGAGATTATTTCTTTATTATTTGCATTACTATTTTGAGGAGCCTTTAACAAAAAAGAACTGATCTTTAGATTGTTCCATTGTTAGTTTTACTCTTTTATTTTGGATTGTTCTTTTAATGGCTTGACAATATCGAACAGAATTTTTATCTTCTTCCAACATTGAGTGAGCTTTATTTTTTTTTTATGTTCTTACTAAAAGTTACAGAAAAATCAATTTTTACAAAAAAGAAAGCCATTCAGTGGAGTTGAGTATTTAAAGTTGAACAAATTAAACATTCTTAAGCATTAATTCTAAATCAATATTTATCACGAATATATTTGGAAAGCATAAAAAAATAATGATTATTTTCATTACCAATTTAAATAGAATCATTTAAGTTACATACCACACAATAACCCTTTAATAACCCTTCTGATTTCAAATCTTTTTATTCCCAATCCTAGATCTTCCCTTTCTGTACAACCCGCTGCTCTACTCGAGTGCCCTTCTGTGGCCCCAGTTCCTGTTGTCCTCGGCCACGGCCTTGGGCACTCCGCTGACCCCCATGACCCCCAAGTCACCCGCCTCCGTGGTGCTGGGTCAGCGGGATCGCGACTACGCCTTGACCCCCGAAAAGGAGCACGAGCTGCAGCTGAACGGGGAGGTGGAGATGGGGGCCAAGCAGGAGGAGGAGGACCAGGAGCAGGAGCAGGACGAGGACATGCCATTGAACCTGAGCACCAAGGAGCGCATCACAGCGACGGATCTTTCTGGCCAGGATCGCTATCACAGCAGCAGCAACAACAGCAGCCGGAGCAGCTCCAGCAGCGAAGTGGAGCCCATGACCTCACTGAATGTGACCCCGCCTCCTTTGAGGGCTGTGAACCTTAAGAGTTCGGCAACTCCGCAGCAACAACAACGCCAGCGATCCCAGGGCAACATCATCTGGTCACCGGCTTCCATGTGCGAGAGATCCGCGCGAAGGGAGCAGTTCGGCTTGAAGATGGAGCAGGAGGATGAGGAGCACCAGGTTGATCCCATTGTGAGGAAGTTCAAGTACGAGCGCAGGACCGCCTCTATATCCTCGCTGCAGTCTCCCATCTCCTCGCTCTCCGCTCCCCCATCGAATTCCGTGCAGGATCTGGAGTTCGAGGTGGCCCAGCAGCAACTGTATGCCCATCGCAGTGCCTTCATGGCCGGACTCACCGGCAACAATCTGGAGCTACTCACGCAGCACTTGCAGAAGCAGAAGAGCGAACCGCAGCAGCAGCAGCAGTCGCATCAGCATCAGCATTCGCATCATCATCGCATCAAGGACGAGCAGCAGGACAGCCGATCGGCAGCCGCTCTCATGAATTTGGTGGCAGCCGCCGAGTTTGGCTATATGCGTAATCAACACCAGCAGCCGCAGCAGCAACATCAGCAACAGTTGCATCACCAACAGCAACATCAGCAGCAGCAACAGCAGCAGCAGCAACATCCTGACTCGACTGCCACAGATGTTGCACGTCGTTCGTCCTCCTCGTCCTCTTACCAAGGAGAAGTCGAGGAGAAGCGCAGCGGCAGGAATTTCCAGGTAAGCACTTTCATCGGACTCCAAACAGGATATCAAAAGTAGTGGGGAATATTCAGGGCAAATCGCTTGAAAATCTCTGAACTCTGGCCCCTATCTAATGGGTTTATCACGTGTCCAGCTGGAGGTTACACGATCTATATAGCAATCGAATCCTTTGGTAGTGTAATACTTTCATTGCATAAGGTTGCGTGTCCCCGGCAATTCCCTCGTGTTAATTGTTTCATATTTTTGTCCTCGATGGCTTTAATTGTTTTTGGCCGGGGCCAAGACCTCCTCTCTTCCGACTACCATTTTCAATTTGGAAAAGTGGCACAGCAAATACCGTAATAAAGTTGGTAATACAACCCAAACAGATAGAGGAGCTCGATGGAAATTCAATTAAGTCCCATCGAAATCACGCAATTAGTTAATCAAATAATTTTGATTAGCGGAAGGGAGGGAGGAGTGCGACCTCTCGAAGATTTATGTACAAATTACAATCATAATTGTCATTTCGATATTGGATTGTGCGGCGGAGGTAAGAGGGCACACGACCCTCAGGAATTTGATACCACATACTTACCCTTATATAGTATTTTGCCTTATGCCTACCCTCGATGTCATATTGCGTTTATATCCATCAACACCCGTCGCGAGTCCTTACTCGATTTTCAATTTTTTTTTTTTTTCACACACTCAAGGGGCAGGAGAAATGCGATAGGTTTTCTTCGGGCTTCAGGACCGCCATATGGCCGAAAAAGCCGAGAAGACAGTTGCCGGAGTCTCTGGCGCAGGCGCAGTCACAGTTTTTCTGCTGTTTATGTTTAAATTCGAATTTTTTTTTTGTTCCTGTAACTTTTGTTTTACATCTGTTCACCGTAGGAGGCCCACCCGGCTGACTCAGACTTTGGGGTTTCTCCTTAGCTCTTTTTTTTTGTTTTTTCGCTCGATTTGCTGTATTTTTTCGAGCTTTGCCAACTTCCGTTCCGTTGTCGAAGCTAAGCAAATTGACATTATGTCTCAGCCAGTCGAAGGCAGCTTAACAATAGAGCAACTAATTGGGTCTGAGTCTAGCCAATGTGGATATGTGGATATATGGATATGGATATGGTCCACTCGAATGCAATGCGCAAATAGAAAATCCCAAAAACAAGGCAGCGAAAAAAAATAAATAAAAATCAATAAAAAAAAGTAGAAAGAAAGAAAGAAATTTAAAAACCGACACTTGTGTCAATTTACAATTACGCGGAGAAGAGAGAAAAAATGCACGAAAATTGTCTCACATTTTTTCGTGTTTTTTGTGTTTAATAAATGTCGCCCACGTAGGCCGAGCTGATGAACGATTTGAGTTGTGTTATGTCAATGTTTGGCTACTTCACTCGTTGCTGCAACTGGCAAACTGTTCAAACATTTAATCTGACAACCGAAGATGTTACAGCCAAGTGGAGCCAATCCGTCCAATCCGCGATCGGTTTTACCCTACCAGCTGTGTTTGGCCCACGAACACATAGTATAGTTGTTGTGGCTCCCTGGAAAGTGTTTCACTTGGTATGGTTGTTGTGGCTCCCTGGAAAGTGTTTCACTTGAGATTTAGCATTGGGCCCTCCTTCTGTTTAACTAGCTGTTTTTAATTTTTTTTTTTTTTTTTTTGCGCTGAGAAATGCGAGAGTTTCTAGCACGTTTAATGTGGGCTAACCAAGTTTGGCTTTGGGTTTTCCCTCAGCTCGGGGTTGTTGTCGTCACCTGAACCGACAAATATTTGCACACTCACAAATCTAGTTTAATTCATGTTGCCACTGCGAATTTGGCTCAGACACACACTGTGGAAAACAATTCGAATGTGTATCTAGCAAGTCTTTTGACAGATTTTATTTGGTTTTTTGGGGATACACAGACGGCACAAGCTGTTCAAACTTGGGGTATTCTGAGTTCTAAAAACACAAAATCGTGACTCGTTCTATAATGCTAATGCTGAATGTTTCCATTCCCTTTGTTTGGTTTCTTGCAGTGTAAACAGTGTGGCAAGAGCTTCAAGCGTTCATCCACCCTGTCGACCCATCTGCTTATCCACAGCGATACGCGGCCATATCCCTGCCAATATTGCGGCAAGCGGTTCCACCAAAAGTCCGACATGAAGAAGCACACCTACATACACACCGGTAAGTTGAATTCCTGGGAAATCAAAGCCAAAACCCCCCACCAAACCTATTTTACCCCCGAGCAAATATGTCAGATTGAAAGGCAAATAGATTTCCACCCTGAAGTCACACAGATTTCTATCGCCTTTCAATTTAACTAATTGCTGCAAAGCTGACACTCCGCGGCAATTAATAAACTTTGAACCAGCATTTAACTAATTGTGTTTATCGATTTGCAGGCGAGAAGCCGCACAAGTGCACCGTGTGCCTGAAGGCCTTCAGCCAGAGCTCCAACTTGATCACGCACATGAGGAAGCACACGGGCTACAAGCCTTTTGGTTGCCTGCTCTGCGATCAGTCCTTCCAGCGGAAGGTGGATCTGCGGCGCCACCGGGAGAGTCGCCACGAGGAGGCGCCCGCCGTCGAGGATCTGAAGCCACTCAAGATGGAGGTGAGCAGCAGTAGTTGCTGACCCCGGCGAGGAGTTCTCTGATCCCAGTATTAGATCGCAGGATGGCAACAAACCAGTCGAAGGAGGAGTGAACTCTAACTCTAAGTCGTTGCTATGAAGCCAAAGTTTGTTTTGTTTAGGCCTTCGCAAAGATTTATTGTACTGTATAAGAGATATTGTTAAATTTCACTAGCTAAGTTACTGCCGTAAGCCTGTACATAAGACTCTTCTTGTAGCCGTTAAAATGTAGCCTAATTACTTATCTTATTTATTGCATTAACCCATATTGATTTGGTTTAAAAATAACCCAAAATTGGCAGCTAAACGTACCAAAGAACAACCTCAAACAAATGAAAACCCATTCGGCGAACACTTGTCTAAATTTAGTTTCCTAACTTATTTAAGTTGAATAATGGCCATTCCCCATTTATTTATACAGTTTATGCGAATTTTTAGTTTACTCTTATTTTATAATTTGCCCAATGACTTTTATTGTAATTATATTTATTAAGAAAACATATGATTTTTTGGAAAATAAAGTTGAAAGCTAAAAGAGAACAAAGAACACGAATTCCTTTTGTTTTTACGGGTTTTCCAGAAACGTACATTTTTTGGATGTTTGTGATGCATAAATACATGAAATAAATGGAACTTAAAATACATGAATTATTGAAAATACATACATGAATTATTATTTGAAATTCATTTGAAAGGCCAGGGATTTAACTTATTACAAAATCATTTAAAAACACAAAAAATTCTTATCTTCATGTGAATTAATTTCCATGGATTCAAAAACCCTTTCAACCATTTGTGGGGTAAATATCTCATTATTTGGACCATTCTTTCATCCAAAACATTCCTTATTATCAAGGACACAGCCTTCTTCTTTGCGTTTCCACATTTTGGTACAAATTGTCACAGGCGCTCCAAATATTTTTTGGGGGTTTGTCCGCAAACCTGATTTTATAGACAAATTCCTGCACGTACTCGATTGATGGGGAATAAGTTGCTCCTGTTTCGGGTGACGCGGTGATCTTTGATCTGTGCCCAAAGTGGCATTTGGGGAATGCCCTTTGTAAGTCGCCGCGTTACAGCAGGTACACTTCCCCTCCTTGGGGAAAACGCCAATAAGTGTTCGAAGTTCGAACTAATTGCTGGCGAAATAAAGTGAGAATTGAGGGGCTTTCAGCGGAGGAACGGAGGGAGCAATGGTCATTGAGGACTGCTGATCGCAATTTTCGGTAATCGAAATGTCCGAATGCATTTTGCGGCACTTTAAAACACCCGAAATGAAGCTTGGCAGTTTACAAATCACCGACTTCCCTCATTATCGCCATTCATGATGAATCGCAATCAGAAATCGACGAAATCAGCGACCGCAGGATTGCACTTGGAGGAGCATCACAAACTCGATCGTCGGGTTGTTCTTTTGGCCTTTTGGCACGCCACAAATTGATCGAAATTGACAAAATATTGCACAAAAAACCCGGGAAGGAAGAGAGAGAAATATGCAGTTCAATTGTTGACGAAGAAAAATGCAGTTCAAGGACTTTTCGCCAAGTGCCGACAAAGTGAGTTTCAAGAGCCAAAGAATGTAGATGCAACTGGGGTGATCATCATACATATTATAGAATTGACTTTTGCATGAGCTTGGCAGGTGAAAAAACTGGCAAAGAATTTGCTTTACCGAGGTCGAAGGAGTTTGGTCAAATATGTATGAATATTTTAAATGGTTTCTAATAAAATAATATTAAAATTATTGTGATAGGTAACTTACTAGCTAATTTTAAATAAAATAGAATCTGCAAACAATAATAATAATATCTAAAATTAAAACAATACCTTTAATTCTTTTTAGTTAAAAGCATCAATAAACTGCAATCAAGGAATGCAAATTAAATCTAAAATGATAGTATAATTAATTTAGTTAATATATTTTCAGGAACCCATGTTCCTTTTTGCATAGAGTTTTTCTGAAAAGTTCAACTTCAGATAAAGTAGAAAGTGATCCAGAAAGGCAGCTATATGAGTATAGTATGCACTATAGATAATGCACACCCGATGCGATACATAGATAAACCGTTTGCCATATGCTGGAGTTTCTCCGCAGCGCTGACTCTCGGTTTATTAACCCCTTTTTCCGCATAACACCTGAGCCCACATAATTTGTCATGCCGTTTCGTTTGGAATTTATTCAACAGTCGAGCCAAGCCCCCATGGAAACAAAGGAGGGCTACGAAAAAGTGGATATGGCTATCAAAAGACTGAAAAGCTGCAACCCCAAAAACGCAAACAATGGAAAAACCGAGCGCGGGGGAAACTCTGAAGAGGAAATTGATCTTAGAAGTGTTTCTTTTCTTTTTCTTCGAGAGGCCTAGGACCCGCAACATTCTGATGTCCTTTTGCCCCTTCCAATCGAATCGGTTCCGTTTTCCGGCTGCCCTTAGTCGAGTCTTTGGGTCTTTTGGTGTCGGGCAGGTGACTTTCGACTTTGGCTATTAATAAAAATAATAGTTGCGGCTAAAAAAAAAAAACAACAACAACAAAAAACAGAGAAAAAGGTGAAGAGCCCGGCCAAGAGCAAGGGCAAAAAAGATGTCTTAGGTCAGTTGCGTTGCAGGTGAAGCCGGTGAGCCAGGCTCACAATTAAAATGCGGAGGGGATGCGGCCGAAAAGGCACCTGTAACACACAGATAGAGGGAGATGGAAGGACTCGGAAGGAGGAGGATGGAGGACGATCAGGAGCAGAATGAGCAGGAGGAGGAGCAGGAGGAGCGGCTCAACATTACATCGGCTCATTTATGTTTATGTCCTTTCGTTGTAAGCAGCCTGGCGCTGATTCCCGATTCCCTCCATCGGAATTGAGCACCTGCTGCCGTTGCTCTTCCTCCTGCTGCTCCGGCTCCTCCAGCTCTTCCAGCTCCTCCTGCTGCTTTTGGTCCTTCTGGTCCTGCTGTTGTCGCTGGCGGAATCCTGGAACCTGTCGCACAATTATTGAGCCAGGACGAGACGAGACGCGTGCTCAAAGCCGGTTTGCGGCAAAAAGCCATATGCCAGAAGGCAAATTACATCGGCGACCTGCAACCAGTTGACATGGGCCACACGACACCAGCCAAAACCAGCAGCACAGCAAAAAAAAATCACACCATGCAACAATTTGATAAAAATTTAAACACAAAAGGGATAACCTCAAGTTTTTTTTACCAACTCAGAGAAAAATTTATAAGAGTTAAAATAGTTGGTAAGAAATTTCAAACTTTGAATCAATTGGATACCACCAATTATATTTCTTAAAATTCAATGTATCTACATTTAAGAATAAATTGTGCTTAAAAAACATTTTATGATTATATGATGATGATATTTTAAATTCTTTCCTTAAAATTAATTTATAAATCTTTATAGCCATACTTCTCTAGTAACTTTGCTTTCAGTGCATAAATATCAGCAGCAGCCACAACGGCAGAAGCCAAAAGATGCAACAGTCGTAAAAATCTCTCCCTCAGACAGACAGACCGCAAAAAACATCGGAGATCGGGAGACGGCAGTCGAGATCTGCATCTAATCTTGGCCCTCAGGGGAGTCACTGCCGAGTGTGTTTTGAGCCACAAGCTGTCGCTTAAAATCCGCATGCGGAGGTGCAACAACAATCGTAAGTGCGCCGCTGCACCTGTCACGCTCGATCGATATTACAAGATCGACTTGTCGGCCGGGCCAAAAGTGACCCAATTTCAACAGGCCGCCGGCTTCGTCTGCGCCTTCGCCTTCATTCTTTCGTTCCTTCCCTTAATTTCCTCTGAAAACTGATAAGTTATGATTGCCTCGCCTTTGTTTGATTGCGCATTGTCACCTGGCTGGAAACGCGGCCCAAATTGATTGTTAGACAAGTCAAGTCCTTAGATTGGATTGACTGGGAATAGGGCTATACGATTTTAATGGACAGTAAGGGACAGGTGACGGCTGCATATGCCGTCATAAAAATATTAAACATCCTTTCAATTATTAAGTCATTTCTGAGTCCTTACAGTAGTCATATTTTGATTAGTTCTAGGTGGAGTTTAAAAAGGGATGGGTTTTAGTACTGCACATAAAATAAATAAGAGGTAAGAAGGTAAGAAAATTGTTTAAGAATTAATACCTCAACTAGTAAAGTTTTATATATATTATTAATACTAGTTACAATATATTACAAACTTGTCATTTATTGTTCTCTTTCATTTTAAAAGCTAATAAACTTACTGAGCTTATTTTGTTAATGGTAAATCCAAAATATATTTGTAGTGCTCGATCGGGCTCTCACCTTCCCTCCCCTTAGATAATAGAATCTTTCATCTTCCCGTCCTCAAGTTGAGATTTCATTGAGCAGTCTTTAATCAGACTTGGCCAAGAGCCCTGTTCGCAGGTAAACCAGGGAATACTGCTGCACTCTGGCCAAGTTCGCTGGCCAAATCGGAAGCCAGAAGAGTGCCGTGTCAACGACTAGTCGTTGCAGATTAGTTTCCAAGCCAGGGAACCCGGGGAAAATCTTAAGCTGTTTCGATTTGAGTGCAGAGGACAAATCCAAGTCAAATATGCAAATCAACCCTCGACAACAAGGCGAATTGTGAAATCTATTCGCACGGCTTAATTGGCAGAGGAGAAGGAAAGACGGCGACGACGACCAATCCGCAAGGCTTAGCGAAAGGTTGCGAAAAACAAGAGCCAAAACAAAAGGCAAAGTCGAATCCCGAACAAAAGTCAAGCCCCAGCAATTAAAATAACAAAATCTAAACACGAAATTGCTACGGATTTTGTGAGAAAAGGTGCAAAGAAGAGACACGGATCTCAAGGTGTTTTTTTTTTTTGGTTTTGAAACCAAAAGTCAGAAAAAAAACACAGATTATAGACAGATTTTCGAGGCGGCAGCAGACGGAGGCAGGCACACACAATGGCCAACAAATTGCGGCCGAAGATGCAACATTTAGGGGTGAGGATCTCCTGGACTTCAAGGATCAGAACAGATCAGCAGGTTGAAAACGCGAGCCAGCCAAGTCATTATGAGAATTTAAGCGCACCTTTCGTTTTGTTAACAGCACCGGGATTCGAATTCGAGTTCTGAGTCTGCGTTTGCGTTTGAGTTTGAGTTTTGGATTCGGATTCGGGCGACAGGTGCTCGGCAGATAAAAGCAGAGCAGAGCAGAGCAGAGCAGACCAGGGCACATCGCATAGCGGTAGATGATTTGGATCGGATCGCATCGGATCGGATCGTTATCCTGCTGCCGCTTTGGTCCTTCTGCCGCTGCTGCTGCTGTGCCAGATTCTGCTGGCCAGTCGGTGGAGGGGCTGGCCAAATTAATTCCTTGCCATATTTTATAATTCAACAGATGACACGAGCCACGAACTGGAGGGCTTCGAGAAGCTCTGGCACGAGGGTCCGCCGCTTGATTGGTCCCTCGGTTGTTTGGTTGCTTGGTTGCTCGGTTCCTTGGTTCTTTGGCCGTTCGGTGCCTTTGGGGTCTTCCCGACTCCCAAGTCCCGATCCTGATCCCGGTTCTCGGTCCCAGTTCGATCCTGCGGCTCGTTTGTGGCACAAGCCACATGCCACGCATCCAGCTCCTCTGCTGAGCGGCTTTTAAATAATCATACCAAAGGGTTACATTTGCTTTATGGTTCATTTGGCATCGTGATAGAATTCGCAAGACATATTAATATGTGTTTAAGCCCAAAAAGTTTAAAATTTTATTAAAGATAACTTATTTTATTAAATATAATTTGATAATATTCTTATCTTTTCATTAATACATACTTTCGGACCACCAACCAGTTATGTCTGGTTGCATATTTGTTTTAAACAGTTAATGATAAGCTTACTAAAATGATAATTATTAAAAAATACAAACAGCTTATAAAACATGTTGCTGTGATTATTAACCAGTTAATTTAAGAGTATCCACAGTTCGAAAGTCAAAGAAACCAACAATACCTTCGTTATTTGGTCAAGGATTTTCGCTCAGCTTGAGGTTCTGCCGGCTTTTCCCCTCCGGCACATTAGCTTAGTTTATTTGAAAGTGCAACAGTTTTTTGATAAAAGCAGTTTGTTGAACCCTCTCTAAAGGAAGGGGCATCTTGAGGTTCCCTCATTGGCAAGACGACAACGACCTTTTGTCTATGCGATCTGCGGGAATAAAAAAAAGAGCAAAACATAAACAAAATCGCCAGGGGTTGCAATCGGTCCTAACTGCATTTTGGCAAAGAACAGTTACGAGTTACGGCCAATGCTGTACAACACAGGTGGAAATCGTGTGCTTGTCACACTAATTTCTCAAAGTTCGAGTTCAGTGTTCGATTGGTGGTCGGTGGTCGGTTTGTTTGTAGTCCGCTCCTTTTGGCCGTTGCACTTTCACAGTTGCACTCCTGTCACAATTCGTTGTTTAATTCGATGTCAGTTTGTGGACTTTTGCCGACTTTTCTCGACTACCGGGGTCCATTGCCCGACATGCTGGCGAACGCATAATTAGCCTTGGCCGATAGAGATAGCAGCAGCAGAACGGAGGCATTGAACCTGGCCAAAACCCAGCAGAGGATCATTAGAGAGCAGCAGGTTGAAGTTGAATGAACTAGCCCGGGGTTCGATGATCAGGAGAAAGGATAATGGCAGCAGGTAGCGACACTTGCGAAATGGCCACATAAGTCTTATACAATAGCATTGTTTGGAGGTCCTCAGTGGTGACATGCTGCATAGAGCGAGGAGTTAGCATCAGAAACCTGTTGCAGGAATCAGAGTTCTAAGAAATTCTTCTTATCACAGATTTTCTAAGTATTGCTTCGGCTCCCGTGAGAAAAAATCTTTAAAAGCTAAATGTAATATATTTCATATACATATTAACGTATAGGAATAGGAACTGATTTATTGACAAACTTAAAAAATATATATTAGATACTGCGTGTTATAAAATATGGACAATGTTGAGTAACTAAGACACACTTCATTAAATTATAGATATTAAAACATATTAAAACAAAAATAGTACACAAAAAAAATTGTAATAAAAGTTTAGTTGTTTATGCAACAAAAATAATTCAGTAGTTTTAATGTGATTTTTGTTTTTATTTAGTCGTTGCGAAAATCACATCAGATTTTAAGGAACCCAACGAAAACAGTTTTCAAAAGTGGCGGCTTGATAAAAACCGGTTACACTGCAGATCCTCTATTTACCCGTTTGAGGATTAGCGTGCTTGAAAAAAGCGCCTCTAGCGGGAAGTAGACTGGCGAATCATTTTGGTTCAGGTCAAGGGTGACTTTCTGGGATTATCGGTTTGGTCACACTGCAGGGTTGGCTTGGCGACGCAATTTTCCGATTTTTAAACTCAAGCGGCAAAGCAATCCTGATTTTTAGTGAAAATTCCCAGCACGAATAGAATATTCCAGTATTTGTAATGAAAAACGAGATGCAGGGACTGTTCAGTGATCCGGCGTTGGAACGCCATTTTACGGGCCACTCGGGTAGCATCACACAATTGCGTTTTAGTCCCGATGGCGCCCAAATCGCCACTTCCTCCTCGGACGCCTCCGTGATCCTGTGGAATCTCAACCAAGCGGCACGCTGCATACGCTTTGTATCCCACTCGGCGGCGGTGAATGGAGTGGCCTGGTCGCCCAAGGGCAACCTGGTGGCCTCCGCCGGACACGATCGCACCGTCAAAATTTGGGAGCCCAAGGTACGCGGAGTTTCCGGGGAGTTTGTGGCCCACGGAAAGGCCGTTCGCAGCGTGGACTTCGATCCGACCGGTCACCTAATGCTCACAGCCTCGGATGACAAGTCGGCAAAGATATGGCGCGTGGCCAGGCGGCAGTTTGTCACCTCATTTGCCCAGCAAAACAACTGGGTGCGCTGCGCCAAGTTCAGTCCGAATGGCCAACTGGTGGCCACCGCCAGCGATGACAAATCGGTGAGGATCTACGACGTGGACAGCGGCGAGTGTGTGCGCACCTTCACCGAGGAGCGTGCGGCTCCCAGGCAACTGGCCTGGCATCCGTGGGGCAACATGCTGGCCGTCGCCCTCGGCTGCAATCGCATCAAGATCTTCGACGTCTCCGGCAGCCAGTTGCTGCAGCTTTATGTGGTGCACTCGGCGCCGGTCAACGATGTGGCCTTCCATCCCAGCGGACACTTTTTGCTCTCCGGCAGCGACGATCGCACCATTCGCATTCTGGATTTATTGGAGGGCAGACCCATCTATACTCTAACTGGACACACGGATGCAGTCAATGCGGTGGCGTTCACTCGGGATGGGGACAAGTTTGCCACTGGCGGCAGCGATCGTCAGGTTTGGATCACCTTTATAATACTTAAGTGGCATTACTAAACAAATTATCTACTTGGCAGCTCCTCGTTTGGCAGTCCAATCTGCACACCTACGACGCCTCCCAGTTTGAGGCCAAGTCCGCCCTGGTCTCTTCGGGTTGCGACACCAGTGCCGCCTCTTCGAAACAGAGCCTGGCCAGCGGCGCCTCCAAGTCCAATGACCTGAGCATCCGCATTGATCCGCGACAATCGATGGCCTTCCAGGCGTCGGAGGAGAACTTCCAGGTGCTCGACAGTAAACACTCGAATCAGCCGCATAACACGCAGGAGGCCATTCTCGCCCAGGGCATGGACTTCAAGACGCGAAGCGCCAGCCCGCACTTCTTCTAACCAAAAACAGAATAGCCTTTGCCGCACTCAACCAGCCAAACCTTCCGCAGGTGCTGGACGTGTCCCTCGAATCTGGCTCGGATTCGTGCTCTTGTGCCGCGCAGCTGGAGGAGATCAGCAAGCTGTTGGCGCTTATCGACGAGCGGGTACGGCGGCTGGAGGGCATATACTCTTTGTAGCTAACTACACGGCCTTATATAAGTTTTTACATAATATTAATATATGTAGCTTGCCATTAAGGTATTCTATTTAATACTGAATGACGAATTTTCAGAGAAAAAATATTAAAAACAATTATTTATAAATATAAATCGGGATATGGTCATCAATTTGTGAGGTTTGGATATTTTTAATTTAAACACTTAACAAGTGTTTTATTAAATCAATGTTATTTTTAATTAGTTACAGCATAAAGAGGTTGTTAAAATTTTATAATAGTGGTTTGCTAAACAGTAAGAAAAATAACGGGTTGGGTTGAGTCTCTGCTAAAGCGCTAGCCAGGATCCCTTACGTGCAATGAATAATTGTGGCTTATTTCAACTTTTGATCCACGGTCACACTGCACCGAAACAAAATAAACAAAATCCGGCGGAGAAAGTGGCGATAGACAAATTGTCCGTTGAAAGCGTATATACAAGTGGCCATGATGCGCGACTGGATGCCCGTGCTCTTTTGCGGACTGTCCGTGCCGATTTCGTTGTTCATGTGGCTGGGCAATGTGGCGGTCTCAAAGTTTTGGACCAGCGACTTCGAAGGTGAGCGATCCACAATTTGGATCTTCGGGTCCCACTGCAATTCTTGGGGTCAATTAATAACACAAAGGTTATCCGACAGAGTCTCGGGTGATTCCGCCGGTGCGCTGGCTCTTCTCCACGCTGGCTCCCCTCGCCCTGATGACAGTGGCTCTGCGCCGGCGGAGCGTCAGTCGATCCGGAGCCGCATTGGGCATTGTAGTAGCCTTCATCCTGTCCATCGCCAGCCATCCGTTCTTCGCCAGCCTGGTGGTGTTCTTCTTCAGTTCATCGCGTGCTACCAAGTTCCGGGCGAACATAAAACGCCGCTTCGAGAGCGATTTCCGCGAGGGCGAGGGACAGCGAAACTGGGTGCAGGTGCTCTGCAACGGAGGCATGGCCGCCCAACTGGCGCTTCTCTATCTACTCGACTGCGGCAGCGGTGAGCGAGCGGTGGACTTCGCCCGGGAGTACCGATCCAGCTGGCTGGGCGTGGCTGTGATGAGTGCATTCGCCTGCTGCAACGGCGACACTTGGTCCAGTGAAATCGGTTCCGTGCTATCGAAACGTGATCCGGTGTCCATCATCACCTGGCGACGAGTTCCTCGCGGCACCAACGGCGGCGTATCGCTGGCGGGCATTGCAGTGAGTCTGCTGGGCGGACTGCTGGTCGGCTTCGGCTATTTCGTCACCGTTCGCTACACTGTGGAGGCAAAAATGCTGTTGGTCAGCCCTCCACAGTGGCCCATCATCGCCCTTGGCGGCATCGCCGGGCTGTTTGGATCCCTGCTCGACTCCATATTGGGTGGCTTGCTCCAGTACTCCGGCATCAATGCGGAGGGCAAGATCGTCGACGCGCCCGGCAAAGGAGTGCGCCACGTGAGCGGACTGCGCATTTTGGACAACCATAGTGTCAACCTCATCTCAAGCATCGTCACCGGAGTCACCATTCCCGTCCTCGCCCAGAAATTCTGGCCCGTGCGTTGATTCTGTTGGCTATTGCTTTATCACCTCGAAAAGGATTACCTTCAAAGATCAAAGCTTATGTTTCGCCTTTAAGGCAGCAATATGCCGATGTTAAAAAGTTATATATTTATCAGAGGCGGTGGACACACTACGTATATATTTTTGTACAGCTTCCATGGCTTCAAGCGAACTAACTGACTTATGAGACTTGACTAAAAACAACGAAATGGGCAGATGAAATTTATTTTAGACTAAGGCAGCTCACCGTGTTCCTATATGGATAATTATTTGTTTTGAAACTGCATAAATTCCCCGTGACTTCTCATCTACATGCATAATGTGCAAAAAAAATAAAATTAGGCACTAAAGCATTTCAGTATTTGTTGATGTTTTTAATTTCAAATTACGGTGCGTGACTGAAAAAATGTTCGGTTATGGTAGCGTGTATTCCTATGGCGTCATCACCAGCGATTTCCTTTAATTCGGAGAACAATTGAATAGCGCTGAAATATTTTTAGAAGACCTCGCCCTGTTTTGCATGCAAATTGCTCATTGCGCAAAGAAGCAAAGCAAATATGAGTTATATCGAGCTGATTGAAAACCATATGTGGTGCCGAATACTTCAATTAAATTGAAAGAGTGTAGAAAGGAATTCACAGAACTCGTTTCCAAAGGTCTATTTTAAAGTTCTATATTAGATATTAAAAGAAATCTGAAAGATCTGTACCTCAAAATAAAAAAGTTTAGTTGCAATGAAATATAGTTTTTAATCTTTTTGCACTTTATTGGATCTCTTGAGTTTCTGCAGCTCAAAGTTTCGGATCAGGTTTTGGGATAGTGCTCGTAACGCCTCGCTGGAGGAACTGGCTGGAAAGGTTGAGCTGGGTGGGCTGATCCCTCCCCCCCGGAACTGCTGGCTTGGCGAACCCGATGGAGAACTTGATCATGAGGTCACCGATGGGCGAGTTGATGAACTGGGACCCCGTTGAGATGGTTTTGAAGACGATGCGGCGCTTGTGCTGGTAGACCTGTGGATTGCTGGGCAGGCTGTTTACCGGCGGAAGATTCGGCTTGGAACTAAGTTTGGGCCTTTGACTCGTGGTCGTGCTCACAAGTGGCGGTGACTCAGTGGAGCTGGTTTGGTTCACTGGTCTGCCTGTCGTCCTGACCGAGGTCCTTGGCCTTGTGGTTCGTGGTTGAGCAGTGGTGCTGCTGCGTCGTCTTTGCGGTCTGCGAGTGGTGCTCCTTAAAAGGCTCAATGACGGTGCTTGATAGCCACCTTCGCCTAGATCCTCTTCATCGAGTGGGTCTGCGATCGCATCCGGTTTCTCGGGATCTGCCAAATAACTCTTATCCCCCTGGTCCTCTTCATCCTCGTAGTCATCCAACGGGTCGGCATCTCGATCTCCGCCAGTGAAGAATGGTGGTTGATGAGGTGGCTCCTGGTCGCGGCGCTCCTGCTTTTCCCTGTTCTGCTCGTAGACAGGATCGTTGGGTGACGACGAGGCCAGGACCTGCTCCATCTGCTTCTGCAGGATCTCAAAAAGCGGAGCATTCTGCTCGTCCTCCGACACTGTGGACTCTGGCTCGCTGGGCACAAATCGGTTGTTGATATAGGCATTTCGTCCGTCCAGATCCTCGTCCACTTCCAGGACTTCATCCTGACGGGAACGCGACTCCGTTTGCAGGGAGTCGGGCGGTGGATGGGTCACCTCTTCGTTTACTTCCGTTGGTGCAGCTCGAATGGTGAGTAGAACTAGAAAAGCTTATAGTAATACCTTCTGGAAATAACATTCCCAAGGATCTTACCTGCACTCGTGAGAATTAATAGTAGTGGAATCTTACAGATTCGGTTTTCAAAACCTCTGGCTCCCATTGCAGTTGGTTTACTTCTGTGAAGTGACACACGAATGCCACTGCTTTTATAGGCAACTCAACTGCAACCTGCTGCATTGTCCATCCCACGTCCAATTAGTTTTTAGGTTTAGTGCCTGGCCCTTAATGACGAACCTCTTGAGCTTCCTCCATAAATCCGTTAATAGAACTCGTTTCGAGGGTCAATGCACTTCAAAACAAATGCATCATCTCAAACTTCAATCAGATATAATTACAACGGGAAGAATTTATCTAAAAGAAAGTTTTTCTAAAGGTCTTCTTGAGAGGCATACAATCTTTATATCGGTACTGTATTCTAATTTTCTGTAATGTTAAATATGTAGTATTGACCACTTGACATTTGTTAACGAATAAAAATATGTAACTTATTTTAATCTCCAAGGGAGAGTTACCTCAGACTCCATAAAGTAAATAATATTTATTCAGAACCACGATTTGAATGAGCCCTTCCAAAAATCCGAAAATTGGCTTTTTCCAAAATTGGCCAAAACTCTACACTTGAAAGTCCCTAACTTCCATAACTGATGTCCGATTTTGGATTGGTATACATACCTCAAAATGCTTGTGAAGTAGTTCCTAAAACAACTGCATACTTAGTTTGGCTTTGATTTTTTTTCCAATTTTATGATGTGCCCCTGCCAAAAATCCGAAGATTGGTATACCTCAAAATGCTTGTGAAGTAGTCGTTGTTATCTACATCGGTAATTCATTATAACTCAGGGCCGGAGAAACAGTTTTGAGTGGGGTGATGACCTCACAAATTTTCAATATTCAATATTTAATATTAATGTAATGTTAAAATAATGTTAATTTAATATAATGTAAATGTAATGTTAACTAAATGTTAATTAAATTAATATGGCCACGTCAGCGACAATGATAATTAATTATTTTTTTCGTTTTCTCGCACCTATAATTCCCAAGTGGTTCTGGCTGATTCGTAGTGGGATACCCCTTGATTTTGGCCAATTTCTCAGTTCTCCGGGATGACCGGCAGTTTCTCTAAGAAACTTTTCCCGGTCTTTGGAAGTGTGTGTGTGTGCGTGTGTGTTGTGGACTCCAGGATGCAGGGCATCCAAACCTGAAAAGGTGAGTTGCAGTTTTTTTTAATTATGTGATGACGTGGCTTTTGTAAAAAAAAATGCAGTTAATTAATTCAATTTTTTTATATTTTTTTTTCAGGTTTTTGGTTGTGTATTTGGCTGATTGCAGAAAATAATTGGTGACACTATCCAACTTGTAACTTGAAGTTCGACATCAGGATGCACTGCACCAAAGTTATTACGCAGTGAGTACATCCTTTAGACAATTAATAATTAAGTTATATATTTTAAAAAATCATAAATATTTTGACAAAGAAACTAAAAGAAACAGATAAAGATCTGAAAGTTTTCAAGAACATGAAAGAAATTTGAAAGGTAAATTTTATCAAATATTGAACTTGAAGTACATGAAAATCAAACACAATTAATAATTGTAAACAAGTAGCGACATATAATATAAATATATGTAGTATATATATAGTAATAGTTGTAAGAATGCGGTTACCGGAAATATATAGTATGCTGACACCACATAAATGGACTGGACAACAGGCTGCAGGATCAATTATGAATGGCGTGATCTTCTATTGAACTCCACTCCAGGATGCAGTGCATCACCTCATTGGGGTATGTATTTTTTAAACAACCGATTTGTATAAAATAATTTAACTAATATTTTGGAATGCTTCTTTTCATTACAGTGATGACTATTCCGTTCTGCTTGGAGTGAACTTCAAGATGCAGTGAATAAAAAACCCAAAGAGGTAAATACCTTTTTTACTAACAAAATAATTCTAACTATTATTATTTGTAACAAATTATTTATTATTATTTTTTTTTCTTATTTAATTTCAGGGTAAAGTGTTAAGTGTTAATGTTGCGAATAAAGTGGTTGCGGTGATTATCTTACTTCAAGAAGACGAAAGATTGCAGTGCAGATCAAGGAGCTAACTGAGTAAGTACCAATCTGAAAAGATTTATTTATGATAATCTCATAATTATTTAAGTAGTTTTTACATTAAGTTGGAAAATGCTTAACTTGGGAAGTATTTGGGAGAGTTACTATCTATCTATTTAAATAGAAACTGATTTAATTGGGCCGTGGTAAAGGCGGGATTTCTCTTCGTTTTTCTTCGATATACTCTATATGCAGGGCCGGAGAAACAGTTTTGAATCATACATTCAACTGATAATAATGGATGTAAATAAATTTTTTCCTACAAGTCAAGCATTTTGGGGTGTTGAATTCCACACCCGCTAAGATGTGGCGTGTGGAGTGCTCAACACCCGGTATACACCTTCCGCCGGCCCTGTTATAACTTATAACTTGGTTATACATTATAATCTTATTAAAGGGCCTAGGTTGGTCTCCGTATAGAAGTTAGCCATTAGAAAGTAAATGGATTTAATGAACTTAGCTAAATGTTGCTAAAAGTTAGCCATTAGAAAGTAAATGGATTTAATGAACTTAGCTAAGTCGTAATGTCTATGAAAATGTTGGTAAGAATACCAATAAATATTTAAGTTTTAAAAATCGTACCCCCAAAAAAGTTTCGACCTATTTTATGTATGTTTTATTGTAATAAATAAATAAATAGTTAATTTTAGATGAGATTTTTCTAGTTACTTTAACCCTAAACTAAATGGTACTTGAGCTTATCGTTGTCCTTGCTCTTGGGTTGAGTCTGCTCCTTCAATGGCGCAATCTCCACTGGCTTGGGTGTGGGCGTGTCCTTCAGGGGCATGGGCGGTAGGACTATGTCCTCGGATACCTTGGCAGACTCTGCAATTGGAATTGGCTTAGAAATGGCAGGTTGAGCAGGATGTGGAACTGAAATCTGCGGAGTTTCCACGGGTTTCGCAATAGCCAAAGTTAGAGGCTCCTGTTCGTCCTTTTCCTTCTGGTCTTCCTTCTCCTCGCTGCTCTCGCCGCTGTCCTTGTGCTTCTTCTTTTTGTCAGCCTTCTCCTGCTTCTTCTTCTCCTTCTCCATCCTGCACTTCTCCTCCTCCAGTTTACGTTTCTCCTCCTCCAGCTTCAGCTGCTCAACGATGGCGGCATCCCGGAAGTAAGGAGACGAACGGAACTTCTTATCGGCGTAGGCAGTCTCCGCAGGATATTTCTCCTGGCACTCGGAGTAGACGAAGTCCGACCAAAGTCCGTGCGATCGGCACTTGGCCACGTCCAGTTTGCACTTGTTGTAGAAGACGGCCACCTCGGAGGAGGTCCTTCCGCAAATGGGTTCGTACAACTGATCGCAGTCATCGTCGCACAGATATCCTTCGTTCAAGGACTGAGCGGCACTATTGATGGCCGCCGAGTTGGAGGACTTGCAATCCTTTTGGCTGGAGGAATCACAACTAAACCAGGCGATCGGAATGGCCAAGTAAGGTGGACTCATACGCTTCTGACCCAAGGAATTCTCTCCCTGAGCCGCAAAGGTGCGCTTCACATAGTAACCATGTTCCTCCGTGGACACCTGAGAGTTCCCAGCCAAATTCGTTGAGCTGGACCACTTGGTCTTCGTCTTGGTTTTATTGGAATCGGAATGATCGCGGTGTTCGTGATTGGAGCTCTTGTACTTGCGGCGTTTCGCTTCCGCAGGTGACGCCTCCAAAAGGAGTAAAGCTGCCACGGCTAGGGAAAAAATAAAAGAGAATTGTGTGGTTTTATATTTAATTGTAGAATTAATACTGGAACTGGATACCCAGGCTCGTTTTAACTTACCTACGATGCAAATAAGTTGGTATGGTTTCATGTTGGTCTGGTCAGCTGCTCGTCTCCACAACAACTGATCGCATCTTCTGGCGATTGGGGCTTAAGTACCAGTCTTAGCCACTCGACGGGGAATTCTTTTCGCGCTTACCGGTTTTTCCTCGCACTGCAACTCTCCCAAAAGGCCAGTTCTTCACCGGGTTTGTTTACACTTCGCACAGTCGAACGAAAGTACTGCGAGTTTTGTTGCTTTATTTTCTTCGGTTTTATTTTTTTTTGGTACTATCATGTTTGGTGAAATTTTATGCAAACTCATGTGGTCGTACCCTTTTTGTGGCGATAGCCATCTAGAATGTCTGGGATCTGGAACTGGTTGTGTGTTTAACACCTTCGTTGATCTCCATTCCACTCCTCCTCTGAAGCGCAATCTCCGCTGTAGCCGGTTTGCTCGAAATTGGGTCAATCTGGAAAGGTTCGGTGATCTGGTTGTTATTTTACGAGGTTCTTCTGGCCGCGTTCGCCGGCATCTCGCAGGAAATTCGCGTCCAATCAGCCGCTGTTATTCTCAGTTGATCTTTGATCTGGCCAATGGATCACTGCCAGCGACGGCAATTGTGGTCTTAATTAGAGCGAGCTCGGGAGAAACCCGAGTGATAGTTGGGGGATTGGCTTACAGATTGATGGTATAAAATTTAATTTTATTGGATCATCGTTCTAAACCAAAAAACAAAAAAGCTCTTAAATACTTACTAAAGGAAAAATAATAATACAACATATAAAATATATTTATACATAGAAATCTATTATAAATTACTAAATATAATATAATATTATTATTATATTGAAAATAATTTTACTAATAAGCATCCGTAGTTCGAATGCATCTGGTAACCAGAAAATTGACGTCAGTAAAAAAAATAACAAGCTGTTGTTTTTAAATAAAAGAAAGTTATATGTTATGAACAGTATTGACATAAAAAAAATTTTAATTGTTATTTAAATATTTTATATTAACAAAAATAATGTGTAGTTTGGTTTATTAATGTTTAGTGTGTAACAAAAAAATCAAGACAAGAAATTTTGTAGTTTAACTTCCAGATAACACCTTGAAGCCAAAGATTGTAAAGAATAAATTAAACTACTGGATATTTATCAAAAGCGATTCAGTTGATTGAACCAAATTGCATTTATTATTATCACCATCGTTTTGATGACTCATTCAGCTCGTGATCACTTTATGTTGATTTTGAAATGGAGTTCCATGGAAAAGTTTTCAAGTTTCCCATTAGCATTAGAAAGTTAACCGATCTACGATGCACCACCAGCTGGTTGGGGGCGATCAAATCGAAGACGATGCCGAGCGTGTCCAATTACATAATTTGACTCTTCATCGATTCCCGAGAAGAGTGATTACTAGGGGGTTATATTGTAAGCAGCTTTACAAAGCAGCCAAAGAGTCGAGCTATGGTTTGCCAAATGGCGCTAATATTTCAGATAAACAAATCCAAGCGAGACAGTCTTTTGAACACAAATCAATAGATTTATGAAAGAAGTTGCCAGAAAATGGTCAGACAGACAGAAAATTTAAATAAATGATTTTTCGGTTTCTTTGCGGTCTCCATAAGCCATCGGGTAAACAAAAGAAGAAAGAAACCAAATGAGATGAGATGAGATGAGTCGAGATGGACCGAGGTGGGAGGAATGGAGTCCGAGAAAGAGAGCTTGGGTGCAGTAAAAGCGACTGGACAACGCTTTGGTTAGTCCGCTCCAGAGATCGGGGTCTACAGCTCGCTGAGAGCTGAGCGTTTTGGGATCGCCTTGTTTGCTCGCATTTACTTTCATTTTTGGTGCGGCTATAAAAAGCGAAAGCAGAGCGCTGGATTCGCTCATAAAGACCGCAAAACTGCAAAAGTCCACTACGGAATCGGTCGGAAACAAAAGGATTAGCATAATGGTTAGACCCATCTATCTGGCGTTCGGTGAGTTTCATTTAAATATGGTTTAAATTTAGCTAACTGACTTGTTCCCTCAAAAAAAAGCTGCTCTGCTTATTTTGGCCTGCTCAGTGAGTTCAGCTCCATTGCCGGAATCGGAAAACGAAACCAGAGAGACTGAAGTTAAGCTAGATTTGGAAAAGGAGCAAGTGGATAATGAGGAGGATGATGTTCAAAAGGTTGAAAAGGATTCCAGTGAGGATGATGATGACGACGATGACGATGAGGATGACGATGAAGACGACGATGATGATGATGACTCTCTGATTAGAAGACGTCGTGATGCAGAGACCACCGAGGAACCTTCAGAGGAGACCGTCACCGAAACTCCAACCGAGGAGCAAAAGGTTGAGGTCACCACGGGAGCAGCCACCACAAGGAAACCTGTACTTGTTTTGATTCGTGATGCCCTGAAGAAGGTCACCACCGATCTGCCCACCGCCCAGGTGGCCAACAATGCCCTGCAGTATTTCCAACAGTTCGAGCACTTCATCCAACAGGCCATCGAGGAGGTGATCGGCGATGACGATGATGAGGAGGAGACTCCAGCCACTGTGATTCCGGAAACGGAAACCACAAGCGAGGAGATCAAGAAGCCAGAGGTGGAGAGTCCTGAAAAGGCTCCGGAAGCCGAGATCCCTGAAAAGGAAACACAGGCAATGGAACCCGTGAAGTCCGAGGAGACCACCACTTCGACTTCTGCGCCAATTAGCAATGCTGTCTAGTCTAGATATCAAGTTCCACGAATCATTCCTCAGCTATTTATTGTCATTTATTTATTGTTAGCTATAAACATTGACTAATGTACTGAAAACAAAACTATCTATTGCATTTGTTGGTAGGGATAATCCCTGTGAACCTTTCTCTCCTTCATCGCATGAATGTGACTCTTCAACTGGCTGCGATGACGATTGGTGGTTCGTCTTTTTGGCGGTTCAATCTGCTCAAGCAGGCGATTGAAGAACGAATTGGGTGCCTTGGTGGAGGGTTTCCTTCTGGCAGACTGTGAATTATTTGCCTTTCTCAAGGACACCTCCTGGTCTCCGATGGTCACGGTGAGGGGCAACTTGCCACCCGTACTGATATAAATGGGAATGGTGATGTAAATCGGTGAGCCGTTTACTTGCGGAGTGACCATTGGGGAATGCGGCTGCGGTTTGGTTTCAATTTGTGTCTGCAGTTGTTCGATTTTTTCTGTCGCTGGTAGTACCTGCGTAAAAAATAAAAACGAAAATAAATAAAAGTTGTACCAACTATGGAAATCTGAAAGATTTGGTAAATCCTTTTGATGTGGAATCTTTAAAGAGGATTTATTTGGAAATTCTTGATATACTATTAGTTTTGTTAAATTTTTTAAGCTGAATGAGGTACTTACCTCTTCTTTTTTGAGATCTAGTGGCTGCTGCTTGAGGAAGTGCAGTGGATTGGCATCCTCACCGAGGTTGTTGTACTCATCCTCCGACAAAGCGGGAAGACGATCGTTGTGGAAGTTGTCGTCCTCCTCCTCGATTTCATGTGCCTGTGATGAAGATTTCGCTGTAGGTTCGCCTTTTGGCTTGGAAGTTGTGGTGGTGATACTTGGGGAACTCGTAGTGGAATCTGGTGAGGAGGATTGCATCAGGATCTTCACTTTGATGCCTATTTGGCTGTCGTCGGATTTGGTGGCATTTTGGCCAGAGCAGAGAACCGAGCAGAGGAGCAAAACTAAAATCAATGAAGTAAAGTAAACAATAATATAAAATGTGAATGCTGTATTTAAATGTGTACTTAAATATTTTTAGTTTTTAAGAAATATTTTTTTAAGATTTTTTAAAGCCTACAACAGTTTCTGAAACAAACCCAACGAACACCCAGAGTACATTTATAAAAACCTTTTTGTGATTTTCATGTGATATTTTATTTGATAAAATATTACAGCCTAAGAACTATGAACTAACTTAAAGTGATGCCCAGCCCTAGCCAAACAGCCGCCTGCTCCAATCTTCATCTCCAATCGTCTTCCCTTCGATTTCCACAGATCAAAGCGGAGTCTTTTTGCCATTGAGGATCATCTCGGTGAGTCCCAGTTGCCGGAATTGCTGGAGTCGCTCCACTTGGTGGCAGAGGCGCTTCTGGAACTGCACCTCCCGGCTGAGTTCCTTGAGCTCGTTCACACTGCACATGGCATTGCAGGTTCCCATCTTCTTGGCGATCAGTTGCGAGGTGAGCACTATTTTGGCCTTCGCGAGGCGCAGATAGGAGAATTCCGAGCTGGAGCGCTTCAATTCCTGGCGGTAGAGGAAAAGCTGGTACGGGAAATTCACGGCATCTGCCTTCCGGCGGAGTTTCTTGAGAGCACGTTTGTTCTGTTTATTTTGTTTCTTCAGTGGATCGTGGGACTTCACTTTGTGCGATTTATGGGAACGCTTCTTCTCGGACTTGCGGCTGGACTTGTGCTGGTCGATCATGATGTGTGTGTTGCTGGTTCTACGTCTCTGGAGCGAATGATGTTCTAGGCTGTGGGGTGAGGTCCTTTTAAAGGACCTTCTGGTCAGGTAGTTACTCCACACAGGTAGTCCAGGTAATTAGCGGGTGGCGGTCACGCGCTTGCATGTTGTAAACTTAAACCGTCTTGCAGACTGTTCATTCCGGGTTTCCTAAACAATCCGGGTCGCCGGGAATTTCCCCGGCTCATTTATGGCTTTATGACTAGCCGGAGATCCGCGCACCCGGCTTAATCCTCAATTATGGCAGCCAACTTAGCGCCGTTCGCCCAGATCCTCTGGGTTTTGTGGCGATTTTTCCATATGAACCCAGCAGGGGATACCCGTTCACTTTTCGCAGAATTTTTCGTAGATAATTCTAGAAGCACCTTTTGGTTGAAAACTGTGTCCCCCTAGAAATTTCTAGCTAAGACTTGGGTTTCCTGAAGATAAGGGCTTCCCTTCGATCACTTCAATTTTCACAAACACACACTGAATTTACTTTTCCCAGAGAATCCTTGACGTCTAACCAACATCGTATATCATAATTTCACAAAAGAACGAACCTCCACAATTAAAGCTCCAAGATGTCTTCATGTTTCGTGTTTAAAAATAATACTGAAACCGCTTTTGGCATGAGATCTCTATTTTATACCTGAGATGGCAAAGTTTTCTGCCCCGAGAAATTTCACTTGAATGGGAACAATGCGAAGTTCTACCGGCAGAAATTTGCATATTAATTTCTGAACAGTCTGGCTCCACTTTTCTCTTTCTCTTCTAGCTATGTAAATTTGGCTTTTGCCTGCTTTTGGCCTTACAAATTTGAACGCCGATGTCGTCATTGATTGAGTCTCTTTTTTGATGGGCGAAAAGGGGGGGAGTGGAGGGGAAATCGAATAAATAATGATGATGCGCCACTTTTTCGGTTTACTTTGCATGCATTTTATGAATTTCGATTCGAGAAAGATTCTTTCGCCTCAGTGCTCAACAGAAGTTTTATAATGGTCTTCATATCTACATTGACTCCAATTCTGTACACAAGGAAAAATAAAAAACTAACAAATAAGAACAATTTTTGGCTCTCTATTTGAAGACAACAAAAGTTTGGTTTTTATTGTAAGCCAGAATAAATAAAATAATTTTTGTGATAAAATGGTACTTGAAATGTTAACTTATTTAAATAAACACGTTTATTTAACTAATGATATTAATTTTTAACAATAACGGCATTTGGGTTCTTTTGGTTTTTAGACGAACCATTTTTTAATTTAATAACAAAAAACATTTTTTTTCGTTTTATAGATCTTATTTTAAATCATAACCCGATTCTTATGATTATTTTCTCAGTGTGGTCAGTTGGAATTAGCCTGGGCCATTGGAAAGTCGTCGATGGGTCGCTGCATCCATTTAAAGTTCAGTTTATTTATCTTGCAGCCAGACGAAGAGCCATGGCATTTCCATTTGACTTGGCTCCGACCTCCTTGCCTAGCGTTTCCTTCAATGTCCTTCATCTTTTGCGGTTTGCGTTTGTCATTAGACGACGTCTAGACCGAAAACCAGTCAGCCAGTGCCAGACATCGATCTGCGGCGATTGCCCCAAGAAGTTGGCTACACAATTTGGCCATAGGGAAATGTTCGAAATTGGCAACGTTTTCCGAGGCAACTGTCTTCAAATTAATATTTTCTTGGGTTAAGCAGAGCGAATATATTCGGAATTTGGCAGCAATTTTTAGAACTGTCGATAAGCTGAGAACTATTTCCACTTCTGTGGATTGCAACTATAAACTGAAGTTTAAAATCTTTTTATTACCACTTTTAGATTTAGCTGTGGTCGCATGCATAATTTATTATTTAAATCAATTTTATTCCATTTAATAGGGCATCATTAAACTCAGCTTAACTGTTTCTGGTTTTTATGGCTGACTCTTTAGCTGAAGCCGTTTTACGATTTGCCCTTTATAGATTTCCAATTATAAATGCACAAAAAGTCAAACCAGAAACGGGGAAAACTTTTTCATTGCATCCAATCGAATGAAAGGCGCCATAATTTTCCATTGCCATTGTGTGTTTGCAATTTGTTAGCCATGAGGTCGATAAATTGGACAAATATGCGCCATAAAGTGGATGGCAGAAGGAGCTATCAGCGAGAAGATAATATCATGCCCCCAAAACCTATACTTTTTGTAATGAAATAAATGGACTTTCATGATGGACGGGTCGGCAAATAAATGGCAATTTTTCGCTCCAAATTAAAATGTTTTTTTGTTTTGGAGATGGGTACACGAAAAAAATATAATAAAATACACACGACTAAACTCCACTCGCGAAGTTATATTGTTTCATTTTATGTATTGCTCTTGTTTCGGTCTGTAAAATGCATTTCACATTTTATTGTGCACTCAATCAAAAATCCATTTCCGTTTGTTTCGAACCCACACGTCTGTTTTCAGTCTGTCTGCGCGGCGTGTGGAGATTCCGGATCCAAAGGCAGGTGGTTCGCGGGTTCCCGGATTGGCAGCCAAAACTTTGATAATTGAGTTGAAGCCACGCGTTGAAGTTGCACCTACCCAAAACCAGAATTAACACTTTAAGAAATATATCTCAAAACAATAGTTTTTTTGTACTAAACTGGAGTTGAAACATGAAATATTAAGTGTGATAATAAATTCGAAACTAATAAATAGATTTCACTCAATAAAAAACCAAATGAGTTTGTGCGGAAATATAACTATAATTTTAAACGTGATGATAATATTATTTACGCACTAACTCATATTTTATCACAAAAAAAAAAATTAGGCAAATTTATGGCTTTCCTTCCACTTTAATGGATACATATGAAAAATATTAGTATGCCTTATTTTTAAAACTTGTAAAGCAAATTTAAATGCATCAAAAAGTATTGTTGTATTTAAAAAAAAATATTGTTGATTTGTTTGTACTGAGAACTTGGATATTCTTAAAGCGATTTAAAATCCAGAAATGCTTAATTGTAGTTAGTATTTAGTGCTTAATAAGCTATCCTTTTTAAAGAAAGGAAAACGGGTGAGAAAAGAATATTTGCATGCAACCAATATTTTAGGAATGCGAGTCCTTTCACTCAGTGTACCGCCCACACCCACACACAGCTGTTCCCAATCATCAACGGCTTTTAGCGGACTGGGAAAGAGGCCTCCTTTTGTATGCAGAGGACGAATGCAGGGACTCCATTCGTGTTGCACGTGCCGCATGGCAATTCAATCGACTGTGGGGCGAGGAGTCAAGTGAGCGACCAAATAACATCGGATGGATGGCTATCCTGACAGCCCGAGTTCCGCTCCTGTTTCCCTTCACCACCCTTTACCCCCCTTGAATCCCAACGCCAGCCCTGCGTACTGCAGTCAAAGTAATGCAATCCCATTGCCGACGAGTGGGGCGAATGGTTGGAGATCCTTGCGGAAGGACCTTTATTGTGTTTGTGCAGACCATATGATGGAGTCCTCGCCGGCAGCTGACTTTGAAATGGTTAAACGATGGTCAAACGATGAATGAATTATCTGCTGTGCTGGCCAAGAGGATGTCTAATGCGAGCGACTTTATTTTTCATCTGCATTTTAATTAGCAGTGTTTATCTTTAGGTTACATGTAACGTGAAAGAGTCGGTGGATTCTTTAAAAACCCTAACGAATAGTTAAGACCCAAAAAAATAATTATAATTTGTTATTATAACTACAGTTTCTAAATTATATTAAATGTACATATATTAAAATTATTGAGCTTAATTCATTTTTTAAGAACAGCTATTCATTGTAAAAAAAAGTGGCATTTATTATAAGTTATTTACCAAAATATTTTATTAACACATAATTTGAATTCTTTAAAGAAATGAAAATTTGTTCATTTATGAATACTTCCTGCTTTGTCTGCATTTTAAAAGAGGCCAGAATATCTGCATTCGAGTATCTGTCAGAAAGTAAAGTGAAAGAAAGAGAAGCACTCCATACTCCATATCATATTCACGAAAATTGTCATGCAATAAAAACTAATCAAATAAATAAATAAATGAACAAAAGCCGGGCGGCAGGCAGAGAGACACCGGCAGAGCAAATAAAGTGACAAAATAAAGGAAAACAATTGCGAAATAAATGCCACAAACAATTGACAATAAACTACACAACGAACAAATGAATGTGCATGCGTGTGTGTGACCTGATTCGCATGCATACATACATATACACACAAGTTTGCATGCGTCGAGGATATAAATAAAATGAAAAGAAGCCAGAAGAAGAATGAGGCACAGAGAAATAATAAATAAACTACAGTTCATGTCATGTCAGCAAGGATAACAGAGAAAGGAAGACCAACAAAAACTGACAAAATGAAATTGAGAAGAGGAGCAAAACACACGAGGACGAAAAAAATATAATAATAAATATGTAGAACAAGTGAAAATGGCCAAAAGTTGTACAGATGCGTGCAGTTAATTTGATGAGCTCTTTAAGTTGTCCAATTTGTTGGCATCCCGGCCAAGGAGAATTGAAATAGGCCTTGTGAACATGAACCGACACGCACTCACTCACAATCTAAGAGAACATTTTTAGATAAAGGTAAGGATACGAAAGTGGATGGAGAAACCTATACGTAAAGTTTCAAAGGTGTGCAGTTAATTAGAAATGCCTGAAAATGTGTGGACTGTAACGGGAAGGATAATAAAATATAACAGTATACAAACAAATATATTGCGAATTAATAATAATATTTAATACTAATTTGTTGTATTTTTAAACAGAGGAATGTACTTCTTAGGTTTAGAAAAAAAAGATAACAAGCGACCAATTGTTTATATAACATATTTTGATCTACATTTATAGGTCTATTATATGTAAATAATAAAATATGTTTATTTATAAATATGTTTCCATGTCTGAGTAATTAATGAAGCATGAAAGCCAGATAAAAATTATTTAAGTGAAACTCAATACACATTCTTTACAAACTGACTGTTAGTTTCTCCAACTTTGCGCCCCATTCGATTAAATCCCGTTTTCCATTAAATCCCATATCAGCGCCAACAATCTGTTAAGTCCCGTTGAACATTGCTCAGGCAATTGCAGCATCATCGCCCCACCATTATGAAAACAATCCACGCTCTGTGCCTCTAGCCGCAGCTTCGATTCCCCGCTTATTGGCCATAAATTTAACGAGCCCATGGTCTATTAACTCCGGCCAGATCTGGTGAAGGGTGCCTCTTAATTTAGCCACGTTTATATGCGGGGGAGTTGGAGAGCAGGAAATCTCCGTTCGCACAAATCAAAATACATATACTATATATACGGCAAGGCCGGCGCATCCGACTTTGGCAGCTTATCTATATCGGCTATGGAAATTGAATTTCCCCTGGATGATGGGCCAAATGGGCAAACGGAGTCACATGTGCAGAAAGACGCGTCCAGATAATTGCGCGATAACAGGCTAATTTTCAATTAGCGCCATTTTGATAAGTGAACATAAATTAGGCGTTTTCTTTCGCCCCATCACCTCGATTTCGTTTCGTTTCGCTTCGGTCTTCATTAATCGGCGGCAACAAATTGCGAATGGATATTTTCGCTTGCTGC